GGGACCAAACCACCCAGCTCTGGGCCCCGGGTGATGTTGCTGTCGTTTCTATCAACTGTTTTGTCATTGGCATGCTGTCTTCAGGAATGGCAGAACCAGATGTCACGGGTAGCTTTCAGCACTCATCCTTATCCCTTGCCAACCCAGGGGACACAGACACCCCACCACTGCCTGCCCACCTGCACCAGCCCCAAGGTGCCTGCCCGAGCTATACCTAACCTACCGAAGCCTTCCTCCTCTTGTCCAAAGCATCAGTGCTTTGACCCCAGGCAGCACAGGAGACTCCGCCCCCATAGCTGACTGAACAGGATGAAAGGAGAGGAGTAACACTGTCAAAAATAAAAATTAAAAAGCAAAACCAGAGAGGCCCTCCCTGCTGGGACACTGGTCATCAGACTCTGTGGGGCTCCCAGATGGTGGGAATGAGCCCACCTGTATCATCTGAGGATACAGCCAACATCCATCCTCCAGGAAGGCAGGCCGAGGAGACAGGGAGACTCCTGTTGCTAGCTTTTGAATGCCAGGATCCAGCTGTGCCCGAAGCTAGCATTAATCATACATTTTATGTTAGCAAGCTAGTCAGCGTTGGTCACTCGTAGTCACCAGTATCCCAGTATTTAGAGACAAGTTATACTATTTGTTCAGAGTCCAAAGTCATGGTGGGAGGATGGGGAGGGGTCCAGACAGAGACCAGAGCATTGTGAGCGAGAAGACTGGGGGGGCTCCGCGCACCCCAGCCTTGTTTAGCTTATGGGCCTCATGCACTCGCAGAGCGGATTTGTATGAATAAGTGACCAGAGTAGAGGACACGAGGTGACTTGTGACCTGCTGTCCTCTTATACCAAGAGTGCAAAGAGGGGGAGCACCAGCATCATGCTCTTGAAATGCCCCAGCCCACCTCATGTGATTCTACCCTCCCTGTCTTACATGTCTCTTTTCCCCCTTTTGTCCAAGTTTAAATGTACATTAAAGCCTTTTCTTAGGTCTGTGGAGATGGCTCAGCTGATAAGAGCACTTGATGCTCTTGCAGGAGATCAGAGTTCAGGTCCCTATGTCAGGCAGCTCATAATGGTCCGTGTTACTCTCACGCCATCTTCTGGCCTCCTTGGGTACTACAGAGAATGCTCACACACACACACACACACACACACACACACACATGCACACACATGCATGAATGCACACACGCACACACATCAAAATTTTTTATAAAAGCCTTTTCTTAACAAACTCCCATCACTGACTCAACCACAGGAATTCTCTTCTGTGGCATTTTAAGTCAAGAATGCCAGCTTCAGGTGAGTGGGGCCTCTAAGGGGACCTGAGTTGCTGCAGGCAGCGGAAAGCATCCCTTGGCTTCTGCTGAGATGGGAGAATGTGAGATGAGCACCGGCTCTCGCCTGGCCCACCTGTCTTTGGAAACAAGGTGACTCCCGAGGCACACCGACCGCCCAGCTGTGCAGATGGATCGATGTCATCAGCCCAATCAGGCATGGCGGCAGGTGTGGGAGGCTGACACAGGAAGTCTCTGGGGTCTAGCCGAGGCTGCAAAATGAGAACCTGTCAAACAGGCCACCTGTGTCCTGTGTAGCACAAAGGTCCTAAGGCAGTTAAGATGTGCTCTGACCATGGGCAGCTTGTCTGTGGCATCCTCAGAGAATTCCAGGTTTATAGCTAAGGAAGAAGTTAGGCCCAGATCAAAAGTCACGTGGGCTCTTGGTCTTTAGCACGGTTCAGCATTTGAAGTAGAACACCGTGGCTCATACCTGTGATCCCCGCATCTGGGAGATGGAGGAAGGAAGATTACTGCAAGATGAGGCTATCATAGGCTACGCTGAAACCTTGTCTCATTAAAAACAAGCCAAAGGGCCCCTGGATGTAGCTCAGGTAGAGGACTTGCTTATCATGTACACGTCCTGCGTGATTCCCCAAGCCCCACAAACAAGCACTTAAAAGACAGAGCACACAGAAACATGTTTACTTAAGGTGTGGACTCGCCGCCAGCATTACCAGGATGTTGGGACACTCCCCTCCCCTTCGGTGACCCCAGGGTTGCTGAGAGAACTGTACACAGTCTGCCCTGGGTGCTGATGAAACTGAGGACACACTAAGGTTTGGACAGTATTATCTCTAGAAAGGTAATCTGCACAACAATTTTTATTAGGTATGCGAGAATTCTTGACCCTCAGCCAGCGAAAGACTTCAGCCAGATCCCCTTGCCCTCCCTCGAAAATCCTCCGCCTTTCCACTGCCCGCATCGTCTGCAGAGCTGCATTTCTAGGAGTGAATGCGCATCTCTTGACTAGAGTCCTCACATCAGGGGTCTATGCATTGAGACACACAGTGAGTGGACACGGGGGCCACAGAGGCTGTCTGGGAAAGGGGGAGAGGGAGGAGAGAGGCTTCTGTATGTGCAACAAAAGAAAACTTTCTCTCTCCCCATAAAATCTTCAGTAAAATGCATGCATGAGTGGCTCTTTGAACACCGGATTCAGGCTTTGGGGAAAGGATTCGGACTTCAAAGGTGACCCCCACCACTCCCGGGATGTGCCCAGAGTGTTGGGTCATTTTTGAAAGAAAAGACCTCAGTGAAGAAAATTCCCCCACCAGATGGGCCTCTAGGCAAGTCTGTTTTCTTAGTTGATGATTGATGTGGGAAGGCCCAGATCACAGAGGGTAGCACAATGCTGGTCCAGTTGGTCTGGGCTGTCTAGGAAAGTTACCCGAGCATAGACTAGAGAGACAGGCAGGAAGCATCATTCCTCCGTGGTCGCTTTGCTTTTTAGTTTTTAAAAATTAATTTATTTTTTACATTCCAATCCCAGTTCCCCCTCTTCTCCTCCTGCTCCCTCCACTCTCCCATCTGCTCTTCAGAGAGGGTAAGGCCTCCCCTAGGAAGTCTACTAAGTCTGTCCCATCATCTAGGTGAGGCAGGACCAAGGCACCCTCTCCATCCCCACACCCCTGTGTCTAGGCTGGGCACGCTATCTCTCCATATAGAATGGGTTCCACTAAGTCAGTCTGTGCATTAGAGTTAGGTCTTGTCCCCACTGCCAGTGGCCTCGGATATTGCCCCAGCCCCACTGTTGTCACCTATATTAAGGAGTCTAGTTCAGTCTTGTACAGGTTCCCCATTTGTCAGACCTGAGTCAGTGATCTCTCTCTAGCTCTGGTCAGCTGATCCTGTGGGTTTCCCCATCACTCCAGGGTCTCTTTCAAGTCGCTTCTTGTCACCATTTGTTCATAGCAACTTAGGAGAGATTTACTTTAGCTTCTGTTTTAGGGCTGCAATCTGTGACCATTAGCTTTTCACTTAACGTGATCTAGAACCTCCTAGGAAGAACTGTCCAAATCAGGGAGTCTGTGGGGAGTTACCTTGTTCATGTTAGTTGACGTGGGCAGATCCAGTCTAAAAGTGGGCCTCACCATAGCCTAGGTTTGGATAATGGGCCGTATAAAAGAGGGGAATGCGCGAGGAGCACAAACATGCGTGCATTCGTTCTCTCTCTGCTCCCGATGGGATGTGACTAGCTACTTCAAGCCATTGCTGCCCTGACGTCCCCACAATGACGGGCTGCCACCCAGAATTATAATACAAATAAACCCTTTCTCTCCTAAGCTGCTTAGGTCAAGGTGTTTAATCGCAAATAGAAACAAAACCAGAACAACTCCATATTTGTCGGGGAGTTGTGGCAACAGAGGGGCTCTGTAGCAGCGGGAGTGTGAGGATGCTCTTTTACATCTCAGCAGATCAGGAAGCAGAGAGGGCAGGAAGTGGTACCAGGCCCACACCCTGACAACTCATTTCCTCCAGCTAGGTCCCGCCTCCACGGTTCCAGAACCTTCCAGGACAGCACCGCCATTTAATCCCTCCAGATAGATTAAGAATGGTGTGCAGAGCCTTGATGGGGGAGGTCTTTCTGTATGCTGTGAATATATGTTTCTCTTGCTGGCTGATGAATAGAGCTGGTCCAGCCAATGGACAAGCAGGACAAAGCCAGGCAGGAAGTATAGGTGAGGCTACCAAACCAGGAGAATTCTGGGAAGAGGAACTTGGAGAATCGCTGCCAGGGAGATACCACGTAACTATCAGGAAGATAGGATACCTGGGCATTCTCTGGAAACCAAGACTAAGTAGAGATACATAGGCTAATAGAAATGGGTTAATAATTAAGAGAGAGCTAGCCAGTAAGAAGCCATTGGCCAAACAGTTTATAATTAATATAAGCCTCTGTGTGTTTATTTGACACTAAATGGCAGTGGGACCAGGTGGGAAAGAAACTTAATGTCTACAGAGCCTGCCATAAGGTTTGCAGAGAATCCAACCCAGGCCCTACTTCTCATTGCCTCTCCCAGCATGAGGCAATTTCTCTCTCTTCATCAAGAAACCCTGGCATAATCCTAGCAGCTGGCAAAAGCATCTGGGGAGATCTTCCAAGGACGTGATCCACAGGAGATCCCATTAGTGCATTGCCTCGAACCCATTAGCTCATTTCGCTAATTCTCACTTCCAATTTCACTAAAAGTCACCAGCCACAGGCTGGAGAGAGAGCTCAGTCAGTGAAGTACCTGGTTTTTAAGCAGTAGGACCTAAGTTCGACCCCTGGAGCCATGGGTGTAGTGATGCATGCTTATAACCACATTGCTGGAGAGGTGGGGATGGTAGAGCCTTGTGTTTGCTGGCCAGCCTGGCTAACACACACACACACACACACACACACACACACACACACACACACACACACGTTACCTTATCACATTCAATTCATGCACCTTAGGGTTTCTCAAACATGAGTAAGGGCTGCAACCCCGTGACCTTGCTGAAAGGCAACCTCTGATACACAGGACCAGGCCTGGGACTCTGCATTTCAGCGATGATGCTCCAGGCTGAAGCCCATACTTGGCCCAGCAGGGCCTCCCTCGTCAGAGAGATGAGGGCAAAATGGGACAACTTCTCACAGCTGGAAAATCAATCACAGCGAGGGTGGCTTTCCTTGCAAAGCAATTGTATTGACTGGGTCTCTCTCTTGAAGCCAAAGGAAACGCCCTGAGAAGACCAAGGGGTCACAACTAAATGAAATTGTTTTGAGCTGTTGTTTGGGGGTGACAACCTTCATCATCTTTCCGCAGCCTCTGTCTATGTGGTATCAGCTTGTCTGAGGTAAAGGGAAGCAGGTCAATTACCAGCATCCGAGGTGTGGGCGTGAATCACCAGCAAACAGTCCGTCCTGAGTCATTCATTCCAGATGACTCCATCAGTCATGAAAACTGTCAGAAAACTCCAGAAAGGGTGAAAACAAGCCAGCAGGCAGATGGGGTGGTACAAGAAGGAGAAGTCTGCAAAGGTGAGGCAGTGTGCGCCCAGGAGAAGCCACACCCACCGTCTTTCTCCTAATAAACCCCCAACCCACACACACCTGCCCTTGCCAAAACAGCCCAATGCAGAGATGCACCACTGAAATCCCAGGACGGCGGAGGCAGACACGGATGCAAGCGCAAGGTCATCCTCACCCGCATACCAAGTTTAAGGGCAGTCCTGGCCTTTGTAGATCTGAAAAAATAAAAATAAAGAACCATGCAAACTGTGTGGTGTGTTCTCAAGCCAGTAAAGATAAATGGATAAAACAAACAAATAAAGGAATAAGAGCTCAAGCCACGTGCTGAGGAATAAGAAACAGGGTGCCACATTCAGTTTTTTCTTCAGTCAAATTCTGACAGCTTCAATTTATTTGAGACTGAGTCGAGAGCCTGTCAGTTGGAGAGAGAGATTATTTAAGCTGTCTGCATCTAAGGACTGGGGTGCTGTCACTCAACACTTTCTGAGATCCTGGGATGCCTCCCTCGCCTTTGGCTTCTTCCAGAAGCAGGTCCTGTTCCCCAGTTGCCACTCCTGCTCACCCACTCGACTGACCCCCACCCCACCCGCCCACCCCGCCCGCTCCCATCACCCCGCCCACTCCCATCACCCCGCCCACTCCCATCACCCCGCCCACTCCCATCACCCCGCCCACTCCCATCACCCCGCCCGCTCCCATCACCCCGCCCACTCCCATCACCCCGCCCACTCCCATCACCCCGCCCACCCCGCCCACTCCCATCACCCCGCCCACCCCGCCCGCTCCCATCACCCCGCCCGCTCCCATCACCCCGCCCACTCCCATCACCCCGCCCACTCCCATCACCCCGCCCACTCCATCACTTCCCCCAAGCCTATGCTTGGTTTCCAGCTGGCAGTGCTCTTCCCAAGGTTGTGGAGCCTGACTGTAGGATGCCCTACTTCCGGTCCTCCTGCTCCCTTTCCTTCTCTCCCTCCCTTCTCCTCCCTCTCTCTTTCGCCTGATCCACCCAGATGAGAACAAAAAGCCTCAGCTAAAGCCACCCCTGCCACCAACCCTTCCCCGCCATGGAGGACCGTACTCTCAGAGTGTAGGACAGAATACACCGTTCCTTGAGTTGCCCCTTGTCTGGAATGTGATCCATCAAGGAGAAAAGTAACTGACACAGTACCCAAGGACCCTGCACTCTGCCGGCACACTGGCTTCAGCAGAAGACCGGAGACCCCATCCCAAGCCTTCTACCGTCAAACAGGCACTGGGTCTGTCTGCGTCACCTTCCATTCTCTGAGCCAACTACTGCAGCCGGCGTGTTCTTTGAGTGCTGGGTAAACATGGACCAGTAGAGAGGGAGAGGAAGACCTACAAAAGACAACCGGTGATGCTTTCAAAAGAGATTGGGCATCCAGGCCACAGCCCACTTTTCTCCCACTTTGGACTCTCCTTCCAAACACTCCCCACGGGGCTCTTTTCGGGGGCTCGGTCACGCAAACCACCCTCCCATCCTTTCAGGCTGCAGGGTCCCTCCACTTTCCCAAATAGCTAACAAGTGCATCCATTTTGTTTACCTTGTCATTGGTTTCAGCAAAGAGAATGTGGATTTACTAAAGAAAAGTGAGGAAGAGCTCCAGAGCATTAGGAGGGCTCCAAGGAAAGGAAAAAAAACTACCAGCAACCCATCTCAAAAGGCTGAAATGTCTTTTGAAATGCAAAGCCACAAATGCCCACGCCAGGAAGCGGAGCTTGGCTTTTGAACACTCCAGTTTTCTGACCCTTTGGAACATTTGGGGCTTGCATAAGCTCAATTACCAAGCAGCTTGTTTCTCCTCCCCAGCCTATCCCCTGGTTTCACAATACACTGAGCCAAGCTTCGGCTCCCTGGGCTCCAGCACGCCCCAAAACCAATCAAGGGGCTATCGTCATAGACCAGACAAATACAAGTTCACAGAATCTTAGCACTTAAAACAGTCCTGTGCTGTACTGTAAAAATGAGCTCTCCGCTTTATCAAAGATCAGTTCTGTCTTAAAACCCTCTTCCCACATCCCAGTTCATATGAGTAGGACTGTTGAAGCAAATTAGTACTTTCCTTATAGTCACGCCGTGTTCTAGAAGACTCCTTCCTGTTCATAAGAGCCAAAAGGAAAAAAAAATGATTGCCTACTGACTGGCATAGGAGGAAACAAAATTTTCAAGTCCATAGATGGAGTTTGATTTAACTGTAAAGGAGAGAGAGAGAGAGAAAAACTAGCTGACTGCACTGTGTGACTTCTGTTAAACTGCCCACTTGAGAACAGTGTTTCTCTCCATGCAGTCACCGGCCACTAATACAGACTCTCAGTCAGACTTGGTCATTGCTGAGTGGTCTTCGGTCTCTACCCCACAACACGAGAGGTTGGAAAGAAGGCTCAGTGGCTAAGAGTGATTACTGCTCTTATGGAAGACTCCAGTTCAGTTCCCGATACCCATGCCTAGCAGCTCATAGCCCCCTGTAACTCCATCTGCAGGGGGATTCAAGGGTAGTTGCTCTCACATGCACATACACACATGTACAGAGAGATCTTAGATACCTGTGCCACTGACCACGCCCACTTTGGGCATAGCTAAAGGCCCAAATGAACATGGGAATAAAAGGCTGTGCAGGAGAGGCACACACTTTTTCGGGTTTCCGGTCCGGGCTCAGAAAGCTGTGACTCACCTGGGTTTCCAGTTTCTCTTGTAAGCACCTTCCACAATAAATAGTTACCTATACCCTCATCAATCATGTGATTTATTTTACAGCGACACACACACACACACACACACACACACACTCTTTTAAATAAACCGAGTCTTAAAAAAACAGGTTTCTAATGTGGTTAAACCTCAAGCACAATGCACTAAGTGATTCTCTTTCTTGGAAGTCTCTAGAAAGAATGATCTCATACAGACAGAGAATGGGCCAGTTGTTTCTGGGGCTGGGTGGGAATGGGGGTCAGTGACGAGCAGGCAAAAGGAACCTTTGGAAGTGATAGAAATGCCCTAAAACCGGTTTGTGGTGATGGTGGCGTAACTCAGTAAGGTTATTAAAGATCATTGTTTATACCCTTAAAACTCATGGACTTTGTAGTCATATGGACCAATTACATTGTTTACAAAGGCAAACATTTACAATAGACATGAGATACTTGCTGTCCCAGGGTGTAACAGTTCCTGCCTCACTTCCCGAAACCATCAGGACGTCCAGGATGCCCCAGCCAGACACACAGTGCTGAAAGAGTTTGTTGGTGTCACGGAGGGAAGCTTCAGCTCTGCACAGACCCATCTACGAGGGCGCACACTGAGACAACAGCAAAATGGCCCAGCTCCCCACTGCAGCACCGGCCGGGCTGTGCAAACTTAGCCAGGCTCCAGCATCCAGGGCCCAGACCATAGCTCAGCAGCTCAGTGCCACCACCTCAGTCTGATTCCAGTCCTAGGGCTGGAGGTGGAGCTCGGTAGGAAGGCATTTGGCTAGCGAGCATGAAGCCTTGGTTCGTTCTGCAGTACTGGAGGGGAGTGTAAACGTCTACATGCTTTGTGTGTGTGCACGTGTGCATGCTTGTGTACATGTTTGTGTGTGTGCTTGTGTGCATTTGGTGTGTGTGTGTGTTTCCATTTCTTTTTTTTTTTTTTTTTTTTTTTTTTTGGTTTTACGAGACAGGGTTTCTCTGTAATGTTTTGGAGGCTGTCGGTCCAGCCTGGCCTCGAACTCACAGAGATCCGCCTGCCTCTGCCTCCCGAGTGTTGGGACTAAAGGCGTGCGCCACCATCGCCCGGCTTGTGTTTCCATTTCTATGTCAGACACAATCCCAGGATGTATGTCATTGGTCTCCTCTGTAGGTTAACAGATAATATAAGGTACCCAGTTGACTCTGAATTTCAATGAGCAACCTTTAATTCTTCTGTATAAACATGTCACATGCTTAGATAGGACATATTTACATCAAAAATGCATGTGCAGATCAAAGGTCAACCTCCTGGGGTTGCTTTTCTCCTTCTACCTTTACCTAGTTAGCCAGGCTTACACAACTGGCCTGCATTCTAAAAGCTGACAGAGCCTTGAGAGATACATCAAAAAAACGATCCCTCTCCCACTATCCTATCAGGCACACCCCCTTCCTTCACACTGATAGCCTAAAAGGAACTTCAAAGAAGAAAGAAATTCTATGTTTCATTTTTCCTTATTTCTCTAGAAAAATGTTTCTTTTTTCTTTCAGTGTACCCTTTGTTCAAGAAGTACCTATTGGTAGTGTTATTCACAACATCTGACACATCTATACACTGGGCTTTTTGTGGCATTACATGTAGTTCCAACAACAGCTTTACAAGAGTGGATTTAATCTTCCTGTTGGGCAAAGAAAAACAAGGCTCAGAAAGTCACATGGCCCTCTCAGGACTGGGTGTGTGGCTCTTTGTCAAAGCTCTCACAACACTTGGGTAGATGTGTTCTAACAGGCTACTCTGTGGGATATATTACATATATGATATAATGTATAGGGTATATTACATATACAACATATCATACATAGGACATATTGTGTGGGGTACATATTATACATATATATGACGTGTGGTATTTATTATATAGGACAAATGCATAGGGCATATTACATATATGATATGTTATATATAGGATATGTTATGTCTAGGACACAATGCATCCTACATTGTAAGGGAGCATCTGCACTCCATGTTGTAGGAAGGGATCTTACACACTATAGGATATGTTATATCTAGGACACAATGCATCCTACATTGTAAGGGAGCATCTGCACTCCATGTTGTAGGAAGGGATCTTACACACACACTGTGAGTACCTCAACACATCCACACCGCTAATGACATTGTCCTGAGCTAACTCCCCAGCACAGATGGCGCCTGGAAGAACACGGGACGAGGCCAGCAGATACTAACCAAGTCACCATCCTTGGGAGCATGAAACCAGCTGCACAGAGACTGATGAGGGAGAGGCACAGGAGACAGCAAGGCCAGAGGAAGTAACACAGAGACTCTTAGAGACCTAAGCAGAGTGTCAACATGGAGCTCTGGAATGACAGACTGCCTTTGTCTTCCCCTTCTTGAATGAGCGACTGACTGGGGATTTCTATGGTGTGAGCCTGTTTCCTTCCCAGACACTGGACCTATGAACAAAACACATTTAAAGATTCAGTTCTTGTCTGAATTTGTGGTGACAGATAGCAGGAGCCTTGATGTTACGGTTATGACCCTATAGTGAGGCCAGGATGGTCACAGGCTGGGATGACAATGACCGTGGAGAGAAAAATTATACCTGACGAGGCCTTGGTGGGCATCACTCCATGTCCTTAAAATGCACTAACCTACTTAATTCTATTCTTACTTACATCTCTTTCCCATCCCTAAAGGTGGAAATTGTCTATCATGTCTTTTTACAAATAGGGAAACTGAGGCAACAACTGGTTTAAGCATCCACGCCCCAACAAGCAACCGACCAGTATGATGCTCTTATGGGCTGTGGGTTCTCAAAGTCACCAACAGACTTATTGTATAGTGTGCTGTTGTTTTCAGCAGTAAAGTCACGTGTTTTCAACAGCCTTAGTTAAGAGGCATGATTTGGGTTTTTTGCTTTTTGTCTCAAGTATTTCTTTTTTCCCATAATCTTTTTTTAATTCAGAAACATCTTATTTTACATATAAATCCCAGTTCTCCCTCCCATCCTCCCATGTCCCCCACTGAGCCCTCCCATTCCACTTTTCATCCACTCCCCAAAGAGGGTGAGGCCTTCCATGGGGGATCATCAAAGTCTGTCACATCATTTGGGGCCGGGCCTAGGCCCTCCCCCATGCATCTAGGCTGAGAGAGTATCCCTCTATGTGAAATGGGCTCCCAAAGTCCATTTGTACACTAGGGGTAAATACTGATCCACTACCAGAGGCCCCAGGCCTCCTCACTGACACCCACAGTCAGAGTATCTGGATCAATCCTATGCTGGTTTCCCAGCCATCAGTCTGGGGTCCATGAGCTGCACTTGTTCAGGTCAGCTGTTTCTGTGGGTTTCTCCAGCCTGGTCTTTGCTCATCACTCCTCCACCTCTGTGACTGGATTCCAGGAGTTCAGCTCAGTGTTTAGCTGCGGGTGTCTGCTTCTGCTTCCATCAGCCACTGGAGGAAGGCTCTTCTAGGATGGCATTTAGGGAAGAAGCATGATTTTGACATCAGTTTTGTTTGTTTGGTTTGGTTTTTTGTTGTTGTTGTTAAAGGGTTGTTTCTTGTTTGTTTTGGGTATTTGAGTTTTAGTCTTCTGTCCTCCAGCTGAGGGATGGTTAGCAATGACTTCACCTTTCTGATCCCCAGTTTCCCCCACTGGGAAATGAGGACAATTATACCCTGTATCTAGCTACACCTACCATCAGGTCATCGTGAGAACAAGAAGTCCAGTTCCATCAAAGCTTATCCCAGCGCCTATCACATTGAAGACGCCCAATAAATGACAGTGATGATTAATAAAGCGCCCCCTGGGCAGCACCCCAGCCACCCTGGCGAGATGAGCCCACCGTGCAATAGCGACAAACCTGTTTAGGGGAACTAAGTGACCAGCCGCTGTCTGGTTGGGCTGGAAGCCTGTTGCACAGGTAGGCATTCACATCCGATGCTATAAACCCAGTCAAAACCTGCCGCTGAGGAAGCCACGGACTCTGTTAGAGAAGTGACTGACGTCATTTTGCCAAATGCGCTTCAGCTCTGTAAAAACCGTGGACTGGAATCTCATGCTTTCCACAGTCTAACACCCAAAGCTGGGCTTCAGTTGAGAATGCCAGGCTCCTCCATTCCAGTTAAACATAAGAAGTGCTTCGCCACGGAGACCGAGCTAAGTCGGAGCCTCTGGTGTGTTGTATTGCTCTTACCCTCAGTGTCCTCCCAATACCCTCAGCGTCCCCCATCTCCCACTCCCCCTCCTCGTTGTTTCCATACTCGCTGCAAAATAACTCTGAGGAAGCAGCAATCCCACCCACTGCCGATTTAGTTCTGGATGGAGTAGCAAATTGTTTGGAGCCAAATCTTACCATTTGGTAATAACTTAATGCAGGTTTTCCCGTGAAGGTGCGCGTACTTCAGCGAGTGCATTAGGAGGTGACACATCGATTGTGTGTGTTTTACATTGCGCAGGGTGTGAGATAAGTGGGTTTCATCTTCTGGCAGCCTTGATGTCCCTGAAACAGACAGCAGAGTTACTGCTTTTAGGAGAAGCAGCCACATCCTCAGGTCACACAAGGTACCCATGAACTCTGGCCATGGCGCCCGCGGCCCTGTGACGGAGACCAGAGGCACCTTTGCTCTCCTTAGGTGGCCCACTTAGTGACAGAGTGCCTCAAACTGCACGTCCACCCAGACGTTCCGTTTGGGAGGGTCTTTGAAGATGAAATTATGTTAAGACGCTCACCAGGAGTTCACTCCTTACAGGAAACATCCCTGGTGGAACATGGGGAGACAGGGGCACGGAGTCCCTCAGAAAGAGACCAGGAGAGCAGAGCACACATTTGGAGCAGCATAGTCACAAACCGTGCACTGCTGACCACACCGGAAGAGGGGGCAGGGTCCCTGTCCTGCAGGCTTCCAGGGAGGGATGTCCTGCTCACACCTTGGTCTCAGGTTTCTGAATCCTGAGTGGCGACAGAATAAATTCCTGCTGCTTTGAGCCACCTGATTGTGGGACTTTGTCCACAGGAAACCAAGGCATGTGACTTAGAGGAGAGTGTGCGCCATGACAAGTCTACGTAAAAGAGTGAGAGTCAAGGCAGGGAGAGGGGGCAGAGCAGGCAACGGGAGGAAGAGGAACGGCAGCGATGTTGATACTGATGGTTAAACTGACTGAGACCTACATGATAGCCGGCCGGGTCCTCCAGCAATCACACCTGTGGGAAGGGCCCGTCCAGTCGGTCACTTCCCAGGGCTGAGCGGGGATGGTGAGTGCCAACAACCCAGACTCCCCTCCTAGTCACCGAAGAGAACCACACTGAGTCATGGAGACCTGTCGAAGCAGAGCCTCGCTTGATTGCTCGCGCTTATGTAGGGTTGAGAAAGTGGGTGGGGATCCTCAGGATGGGGTGAGGAGTGAGGGCCAATAATATTCTACCACGTTAGCGGTAGCTGGGCAGAGGCAGTTTTGCTGAGTCTCTCCTATGCGGAAGTGATAGCTCAGAGACAGGTCTGCAAGCTCTAGCCAGGCTCAGGAAGTTCCACTAGGCCTTATGTCCGGGCCTTTTTAGGCTGACAATGGCTGTTCTTGGCTGCCCACGTGACTGTATCTGGAATGAACTACAATCCAGAAGTGGGGGTCATGCTCGTGGTCTGAATCTTGAGCCAGGAAAGCACGACTTTAACCTGGGCCACACCTTCTGCTGGAAGCCTGTGTAAGAACAATGGGAAAAGGAAGGTTCGTTCATTCTTACCCCTGCTCGCCCTCCCCCTGTCACCACATCCGTTCCTTCACTGGCATCGGAGCCTCCTTCTTCTGGGTTCCAGCATACCACAGACCAGCTGAGACGCCCAGCCTCCTGGGACTGAGCAACTACTGCGTTCTTGGACTTTCTACCCACAGCCAGCCATTGTTGGACTGCAGCCTGTAAGTCATAGATAGATAGATAGATAGATAGATAGATAGATAGATAGATAGATATAGATGATAGATAGATAGGTAGGTAGATAGATAGATAGATACATAGATACATAGATAGATACATAGATACATAGATACATAGATAGATACATACATAGATACATAGATAGATAGATAGATAGATAGATAGATAGATAGATAGATGATAGATAGATATGATAGGTAGGTAGGTAGGTAGGTAGATAAATATTCAGTCTACAAATTCTGTGAGTCTAGAGAACCCTGATTCAACATACAAATCACCTGGAAGGAAAACCTCTGGGCGGACCTGCAGGGGAATTTCCAGATGGTGCTAACCAAGGCAGGAAGTTCTACTCTCTTTCCAGCAGCATCCAATGGGTGGAGATCCTGGACTAAAAGGGAGAAAGCAAGCTGAGGAGATTTGGAAGGGCCGTGCAGCTTTCTCTCTTCATTTTCTTCTCAACAACATGGAAATCGTCCTTGTTGCATGGATGCTGAGTCTGGGGCTCAGAAGGGCAGAGGTTTCCGAGGCCATACACCAGAAGGACACAAAGCTGGGACTCGTGGGGCCGAGCTGGAAGTCTGAGCAGTTTCCACCTTGTCACAGCAGTCGGAAGGAAGAACCCCGCCCTTCTTAGAAAACCAACTCTTAAAACTGGATATGGTAGCTCATCCTGTAATCCCAGCATTCGGAGGACTGAGACAGGAGAATTACTGCCAATTCAAGACTAGCCTGGGCTACATAGTAAGCTCCAGGCCAACATGGCTAAAGTTAAACCCCTAGGTGGTGACTATGGTCAATTTGAAAGATTCTACAGTCACCAGGAGACAAGACCAGTCTGTGAGGAATTTTCTAGATTAGGTTAACTGGGGTGGGAAAACCCACCTAAGATTGGTGGGCAGCACCAATCTTGGGGCTGAGATCCCATATGAATACAAAAGAAGAAAATGATCTGTGCATCAGTTTTCATCACTCTCTGCCCCACCCCCGGCCCCAACAATGGATGCAACATGGCCAGCTGCCTTGTCCTCCTGCCTCCCTGGCTTCCAGGTCCTGAAGGACCGTGTCCCCTCAAAGCAAAGGCCAAAATAAACTCTACCTCCCCCAACTTGCTTTTCTCTGGAATTTTATCACAGTAATGAGGAGGGCAGACCCTGCGTCCAAAACCACAAAAGAACAAAATCCCCAAAATGGAACTGGAGGGAGGGCTCAGTGGTTAAGGGCACTGGTTGCCCTTGCAGAGGGTGTGGCTGTATTTCCCAGCTCCTGCATGGTGGTTCACGAGGGAGCTGATGCCCTCTTCTGCCTTCCAAGGGCACCAGACGTGTACATGGTGCCCAGACATCCATGTAGGCAAACACCCAAACACAAAACTAAATAAATAAATATGACACTTTCTAACCCATCCTGTCAATAATTAATAAGCAAATCGTAGGCATGGTGATTCACACCTTTAATCCCAGCACAAGGTGGATCTCCATTTATTTCAGGCCAGCCTGGTCTACATAATAAGTTGCAAGTCAGCCAGGGTAACATTATTAGACATTATCTTAAATAAAATTAATACATCGAAGCTTAAAACAATTTAGGAAGAAAATCTAGTTTGTATTTTAAGAAGAACCAGTGATCAAAATCTGATGTTTGCCTGATCCCCAAAGCCTGATGAGACCCTTTGATGGGAAAGCCCTAACACCAGGGGCTGTCTGCCTCAGTACCTCTGTGATTCGATAATGACCTGTGCTCGGTACACAAAAAAATTTTTAATTTAATTTAATGGAACAAGAGGTGATTGTTGCTGCCAGGGAGAAAACTCTTAAGGGGGGGGTAATGTGTTCCTCAGACTCATGACTCTTGTCTGTTAGAAGCACGGACCATCTGATAGTATGTGGCTCACTTATGCATCCTACCCAGAGAAAACCGACCCCACCCCTCCTGAGAGAACTAACACCCCTCCTGAGGCTTTGCATCATGTTCTAGGCAATGAGATGTAAACAAATGTGATGTTTCCATGGCCGACAAAGAATCCTTAACATTTTGTCTTGGATTCCTGCCTCTGACAGCCTAGAACTTCCCAGTAGAGGCTACTTCTACCAGCCTGGTTTCTAGGAGGAGGACACACAAGGTTTGAGGTTGCCATAGGCAAGAAATAAGTGCACACTTTTACAAGTCACTCAAGTATTGGAGCTGTCTGCCGTCATAGCAGAGGTCAGCCACTTCCTAGGTCATCTAATGTGTTTGATCACTTCATGCACACACCTCATCGCCCGAATTCAATCCCTGGAGCCCGCGTTAAGTGAACCAATCCACAGAGTTCCCCCTCTAGCCTCTGTGTGCATGCCATGGCATGTATGAGCCTCCCCTCCCACCCCCACACACGTAATAGTTCCCCTCTGACCTCCACATGTATGTCATGGTCTGTATGCGCCCCTCCCACATGCACACAGATAATATAGTCGATTTTTTAAATGTTAGGAGGGAGGGATGAGGGGTTGAGGATTTAGCTCAGTGGTAGAACACTTGCCTAGTAAGCTCAGGGTCCTGGGTTCAGCCCTCAGCTCCAGGAAAAAAGAAAGAGGAAGAGAAGGGGAAGACCTTGGGAAGAAGAGGAAAGAAGAGAAGACACTTGCATTTGAAATTACTTTAACAGTGAAGTAAACGGACCCACTCCAGGAAACAAGTGTTTGAAGATGTGTGTTCCTTGTGTAACTGGAAAGGTTTGCAAAAAAACAAAAGACAAAACCCTCCTTTATATTCTACTTTTTATAATCTACAAAAAGTGGGAGCCTGGTATATAACAACTAGGAAAATAAGAAAGACTCGGCATACAAACAACACCCAGTTACAGCAATGACAACAACATCAACCACCCAAGCCAAGGGAATAGCAACAAGTGTAATAATGTTGAGAGACACTTTAGTTATCTGTCAACTCATTTCCCTAGGAACTAAAATCCCATTCTGTGACACACCCAGAGCAAATATGAAGCATAAATTAGACTTGATTAATTGTTGTGGGACCTATGGAAAGATGATGTCATGTCATCCGCAGAGACGTAAAATAGTTCGCTGTAGCTCTGCCAAGAATGGAGTAAATGCCCCATGAACACAGGCAAGCAACACCCGTCAGTCAGAAGACAAATTTCACCGCACTCTTCAGAATCCATAGCAGGGGCAAGCGCTGTGTAAGAAATGAGCCTGAGAAACGGAGTTTAGTGATATAATTCTCTGACTCAAGAAGGGAAACTACCTGAGCAAACAGCCCTGTGAGGGGAAAGTTGGAAAACGTACAGTCAAGGCTCACATCTCATTAAGCATCATGAAATTCACACTGAGGAGAAGCCACATGAATGCATTCGCCGTGGCAAACCGTTTTCAGTAATAATTCATGCCATACTGTACAGCAGAAAATTTATGCTGAGGAAAAACCTTATGGATATGAGCAACGTGGAGAAATCTTAAGCTGTAATTCACTCTTCATTAGGCACCATGGGTTTATAGAGAAATCTGTGAGGGCTTTCGAATGTAAGGAATCCTACCTTAGCAACACACACTTCACTGTACACAAGAGCTATATGGTGCAACCAAGTCAGAGCACCAACAGAAAACAGATGGGTCTTCCAGGCTGACACAATTCCAAAAGAATATATACTTACAACGGTATTATTTACAAGATGGGGGTATGGGAGGCAGCAGGAGACATGGAAACTAAACCCAAAGACAAAGAGGAGAGAAAGGGTCAGGAGAGAGACCCCGGGGAAGGCTGTTCTGAAAAGAGATGTGTCCTCCTGACAGGCACAGGGAGGCAGCCCGAAGAGCTCGCACCCCAGCCTCACTCAGGAGGCATCCATCCCTCTCCCTCTCCTGCTGACTCAACCAAAGGCAAGGGACAAAAAAAAAAAAAGGCTGTGGTGTGAGCAGCCCCCTGAGACAGTGAACAGATGGAGAGAAGCGAGGATGGGTGGGGTGGGCAAAGAGAAACTCTCAGTCCAAGAAGTGAAACCCTAGCTGGTGACACCTTCACCCAGGGAGAGATTCAGCTGCCCGCGCTCTGCACGGCACCCCACGGTGTGCCACAGTGCCTGGATCAGAGCGGGCACTCAGCCAAGATTCTCCCGCGTCATGGAGAAACTGTGGAAGCAAACAGATCTGGGCGCAGGCTGCTGCCCAGCAGGAGAGAGGTCTGACTCTTCCCCGGGGGGGCCTCGAGAAGCAGAAGACACGGGGACAAAACGCTGTTGCAATTCACTGAGGATGGACAGAGGACATTTACAGAACAAACACCTACGAAGGAAACTGGAGCTGATAACCTTGGAGGGGAAATAGGAGGATGAAAAGGACCTTGAGTGGAGAACAATTGTTTTTCTTCTCAGGTCTCTGCAGAGCGGCCTAGCTCTTGTTCCCTGTCTTCAGTCGTGGGGGAAACTGAGGCCCTGAGAGCACAGGCAAGTTCCCCCCACACCATGAAGTGGAACCCGAGCCTCTCTCATGCCAAGCTTGTGATTCCCCAAAGTTCAGGAGTAATGTCGTTTCTTCTGAGGAAGAGGGGCAGCAGTGATGACAGCTAAGTACCGCTTTACTCTGGTGACGCCAGAAGGTAGCACCTCAAGTACGGCCCCTTGGCGTGCTGTGTGCTGCGTGCTGACTGCAAAGCCTCAGGAGGAAGGGCCCTGCAGCCTGCTCTCCTAAAGCGAGTCAGAGAAACCTGAGCTCTCTGGGCTACAGAGACAGCTTGGTGAGTTAAGTGTTTGCTGTGTAAGCATGGCCTGAGTACCGACTCCATCACCTACATACAGAGTCAAAGCGTGGCAATGTGAACCTATAATGCCGGCCCTGGAGAGGATCCCTGGGGTTTCCTCGCCCTTTATGTTAGCCAGCTAAATCTGTGAGCTGCGGGCTCAGTGAGAGACACTATCTGAAAAGGGAAGGTGGAGCTGGTCATAGCGTTGCATCCCAACATAGTGCTCGTCAATTCCAACACTCAGGGGGCAGAGGCAGGTGGATCTCTGTGAGTTTGAGCACAGCCTGGTCTACAGAGCGAGTTCTAGAACAGCCAGGGCTATACAGTGAGACAGTGTCTCAACAAACAAACCAACATATAGGAGGAAAGCAATAGAGGAGACCCTTGGTGCTAACCTGCAGCACGTACACACATGCCGCACATACACATGTGCACACGCATAGCCCTTTTTAAAAGACAGACAGAAAGAAAGAAGGGGGAAGGGAGGAAAGACGGGAGGGAGTACGGACGGAAAAGAGGGAGGGAGGGGTAGAGAGAAGGAGGGGTAGAGGGCGGGAGGAAGAAACCAGAACCCCTTTCCCCAAGACCAGCCATGTGGCAGAGCATAGATTAAAAAATATGTGCTAATTTGATATAAATTGTAAGAGCCAGTTAGGAAAAGACAAGGCTGAGACCAAGCTTTCACAATTAATAATAAGTCTCCATGCCATGGCTTGCGGGCTGGCGGTCCTGGTGAGAAAGTACTAGGGCACAGATGGTTCCTGATGGTCCCTTTGGTCTGTTGTCATCAGACTAGACCCTTGGTGCTGTCTTGTCTCCACACAGTCATCTATACTTTGTCAGCCCCAAGCACGGAAAAGCATCAAGTTCCCTGGGGCTTTAAGTCATTACCTCTGAGGTAGCCGTGACATGTTAAACGGCAACTAACTTTCATGTGATTTTCTGTGGCTGAGCCTCAGTTTGAGAACACGGGCCATAACTTCACAATCGGTGAAGAAGGGGGCTGCACCTTCCCACTCCTACACGGCCATTCATAAGCTTGCCTGTATGCGCATGGGCAAAAGCGGGTATCAGGTGCCCACTCCTGAATCTAGACCCTGGAAGGAGCAAGTACGTGGCTCACTCGGAACCCCCTCCATGCCCTCAACATTTCCAGTGTCACAGGCAAAGCACTCTCATGCGCTGTGAGAAAAGTGGCCACTCAGTGGGTGCAGGAAAGGCCACATTTTAAAATTCGATTCTGTTTATAATTATTGGCATTTGCGCTTTAATGGAAAGTGAAAAATCCTGCTGTTTAGCACAACTGAACTCCTCTCAGGAGAAAGCGAGTAGAAAATCAAGTCTACCTTGACAACCAGATGTTCTCGGGCAGCCCAAGTTCCCAGGAGAACTCCAACGCCCCCAAAATCTTAGAGCTCCAGTTCCCCACAAACTGCATCCCCCACCCCACCCCCCATCTTCTTAACTGTTCCCTTCTCGGCCGGAAGCTCCTCCCACTGGAAGCCTCTGCTGGCTTCAGCAAACGCTTGCTTGCCGTCAGCCTCTTCCGGGATGACTGTGGCAGCCCCACGCACGACGCGTGGTCCCCGCATTAAACAGACTATCTCGCGGAAATCGATTTGCACCAACTGCCATTTGAGGTGTGAGATGTAACGATGCCTCCGTGGGCTGTCAGTAAGCAAATACCGTAGCGCCAAGGGATAGGGAGGAAGTAAGGGCTTCGATGAGGTCAGCTGCTGAGTTCTGGAAGGGACAGACCCATGGGGGGGGGACAGTGATGTTGTGGTGGGTGTTTAACAAGACCCACGCTCAGGGGAAAACCCTGATTCGGATCACGTTCTCTGTCGTTTGTGTAACTCCTCCTCCTGTGGCTGCCCCTAAGCTGCTGACATAACCCTGCTGACGTGGACTGGTGGAGTAGTACTGAGCAGACACTGTCCTACAGCGTTTCTGCTACACACAGAGAGATGTGCACTGTCTCAGGACAGATGTAATGTTAACAAGTGTAGGGCTTGGGGGGCATGGCTCAGTCAGTAAAGTGCTTGCCTTGAGGACGAGGACCTGAGTTCAGCCCCAGGCCCCACGGGAAAGGCCAGGCTCGGGGTCAGTGAGAGAGTTTGATACAAAAGGCACTAGCCGGGTAGCTTAGTTCCTTCCTGTTGTTGCTCTTAAACACTACAACCAAGACAACTTGCAGAAGAAAGGGTTTATTTTAGCTATAGTTCCTGGGAATTAGAGTCCATCGTAGTAGGTAATCATGGCAACAGCAACAGGCATGGCAGCCAGAGAATGATGCTGAGACCTCAGACCTCATATCCTCAATCTTAAGCACAAGGCAGAGAGAGAAAACTGGAAACGATGGAGTCTTTATCTCAAAGCCCATCCCATTGCCAGACTTCCTCTAGCAAGGCTGCACCAACTAAACCTCCCCAAACAGCCTCACCCACCAGGGACCAGTTATCCAAATATCAGAGCCTAAGGGGAACATTCTCGTTCAAACCACTCCGCCACACAAGCCTCATAACCTGAGGTCAATCTCTAGGGCCCACATGATAGAAGGAAAGAAATAAAGTCCAACAGTTGTTGCCTGACCACCACACTGCGGTACACACACACACACACACACACACACACACACTGTGGAACACACACACCACACACACACACACACTGTGGAACACACACACACACATCACATACACAGACACACACACACTGTGGTATACACACACACAGAGACAGAGAGAGACAGAAAGAGACAGAGAGAGAGAGAGAGAGAGAGAGAGAGAGAGAGAGAGAGAGAGAGAGAGAGAGAGAGATACACACTCATAATCCCAGGTGAGGCAAAAACAGGAGACCCTGCGACTCACTAACCTATTTGGAAAAGTCTAGACCAGTGAGAGGTTTTATCTGAAAAACTAACACAATAGGTGGACAGCACCTAACGGATGACACCCCAGTCATCCCCGACACACACAGCACACACATGTACATGTTCCTATACCACACTTGTGCACCTGCATACACAGAACATGAACATATACACAAAAATAGATAATTGTAGCATGAATAATAAAATTCCAGAGACAGATGTTGGGGTTCAAGCTGAAGATCAGAGAAGCAAAGCAGCCAGTCACTAGAGAGTCCTCACCTCTACCAAGGCTGGGACAATCATGTCTTCAATATGGCCGGAAACTAAATGGCCCATGACACCCTGCTCCTGTCTTATATGCCTCTCTGGTGCTGGGATTAAAGGCGTGCACCACCACTGCCCAGCCTCTGTGGCTGACTAGTGTGCCTGATGGGATTAGAGGTGTGCGTCACCACCACCTGGCCTTTATGGCTGTGGCTAGCTTTGCATCCTGACCTTCAGGCAAGCTTTGTTAGATCATAGACACTATATCACCACAGGTATTTTAAAAGCAAGTATTTGAAAAGCAGTTGGGAAGTGACATCTTGAGAGTCTGTTGTCTTTTTTTGCCCATGTCAGAGGAGCTGCGGCTGACAACGGAGCTTGTGTGATACCGCTCGCTGGTTAGTACAGCTATGATGAGTGTACCCGGGAGAGGCAAATGGGAGGGGCTGTCCCCAGAATGCCCCTTGCTTCCGCTGTGCCTTCTCCGGCTAGCCGCATACCGTTGGCATGGTGTGAATGTTAGAATCCACTGTATCTAGCACAGTGTGGTTGTTTTATAGGAAAGCCCCTCTCCTCACTGGACAACTGTTTACTTGCAGATCATAATAAAGATGATTTCTTACAGAGCAATGACTCTCAGGTGGATCAATGATTTAAAGACACAGGCGGTTAAGACAGTTAGTGAAGATGGGTAGCGAAACAGTTTAGGTTGCTCTGACCATTGTTCCAACGGGAGATACAAAAAAAAAAGAAAAAAGTCAGAAGAGTAGAAGACACCCCTCCCTCTTTGCCAGATGTGAGACTTGCTGAGGATGAAAAATGAGAACAAGGACGTTTCCGTTTCACACGTTATAGATTCATGAACTCTGCCTGTGGAAAAACAGCTAAGGATCAAAAAGACAACTATGGCCTCTACACACAAGGTTTGGTCTGAGTTGCTTGCTCATGTAGCTTGCAGATTTAATCACAGGCTTCCGTGTGCACCTTGAGAAAGCAAAGCTATGACAGGAAATTAAACGATCCTGATGTGTGTAAAGAAAAAAGAATGGGTGGTAAGCTAGACCGCTTGGGTAAGGTTTGGTAAGGTAGACTAAGGATAGGAATCTACCACACTGAAACTGCAAACAGCTGCCAGGCAGTGCAGAGGAACTGGCTAGAACATACGTGGCTTGCCTAGAACGCTGCTAATCAATAATAAAAGAATCACCGCTTTGGGGTGAAGACGTTACGGTGGGAAAAAAACAATACAAAGGAAAATGTTTAACTACATGTGGGCTTCTAAGAAAAACATGTAACTTGGGATCATAATGTGATTTCCTCTTGCATAAAGATTTTAGTGTGTTTTAAAAACATGTAACTTGTGATTGTGAGATGACCTTTTCTTGCATGGAAGCTTTTGCCTTAGGTAGTATAAAAAGGGCTAAGAGAAAAGTAAAGAAAATGAATTAAGTTTGCTCCCTCAGATAAGTCTCCTGTGTGCTCAGTTGCTGACTCCACGTCTCCTCTCCAGTTCCTCTGAACTGCTGGAACCGGACACCAACATTTGTTTTCCATATAATTTCCTTCGTGTAAAATTCATTGACTTTTTTAAAATTATGACTGTTTTCTCTCTTTGCCCCATCTACTGCAAGAATGAAGACCATTCTCAGCAATCAGACACTGACATTCCAAAAAACAAGGATATCACTCTGAAGGGGCCCAGAGGAACCCTCTGGAGGGACTTCAACCTCGTCAACATACAGCTCAGTCTCCTTGGGAAGAAGAAGTTGTTCCTGGCTGGCAAATGGCGGGGTGGGGGGGGGTAACAGAAAGGAACTGGCCACTGTCCGAACCATCCGCTGTCACGTTCAGAACATGATCAAGGATGTCACACTGGGCTTCCGGCACAAGATGAGGTCGGTGTATGCTCACTTCCCCATCAACGTTGTTATTTAGAAGAATGGGTCTTTGGTTGAAATTCAAATTTTCTTGGGTGAAAAATACATCCTCAGGGTTCAGATGAGAACAGGTGTTGCTTGTTCTGTCTCTCAAGCCCAGAAGGATGAATTAATCCTTGAAGGAAATGATATTGAATTTGCTGCAAATGCAGCGGTTCTGATTCAGCAAGCCACAACGGTTAAAAACAAAGATATCAGGAAGTTTTTGGATGGTACTTATGTGTCTGAAAAGGGAACAGTGCGTCAGGCTGATGAATAAGTCCTAAGCTACCCATCTCCAGAAACAAGATCCTGAATTTAAGTATGATTTGAGGTGTCTTTTGGGATGATAAAGACTTGTATTGAAAAAAATACGACTGTTTCACAAACATCTTGCAACATTCAAAAAAAAGATGTGGGCATTGACTCTTGAAACAGTAAACAGCTTCCAGAAGGTCTCGGAATAAAGGTTCCAGAAGAGCCTTTCAAAGGTGAAGTTTCAGATCAGACCAGAGTGGAGGAAGGAGCCGGCCGTGCAATAGCCTTGTGGTATAAGTGGCCTCGGGCTGTGTCCAGAGGTGACCACAGAGAAAGCAGAGGCAAAGAGCATGTGGCTGACTGCATAGTGGGAAGAGGTTTTAATGACATCCCAAGGACACGGGGAAAGCTTGAAGGAGTCCAGAGCTCCAAGGCAAATGGATGACAGTGAGAACAAGAGCAGAAGTGTCCCCCATGCTGAGGAGCTGTGCCCAGTCTCCACCGAACAGCTGCTTCTGGTCCATGAGAGAGGAGCGTTGAAGGCTCGCACTAGGTTTGGATTGATACACTCTGCTTTCGTGTTTCAGTTGCGTCTGTGTGGTGTGAGAGGGCATGCCAGCCACACCACACTTGTAAATTCAACAAAAGAAAAAGTAAACAAAAGGACGTATGTTAACCGACAACTGGTGAGAACAGAGGAAGAGGCAGGTTTCCATTTGTGCTCATGCAGTCGTTCCGCAGCCCGCAAACACTAGTTCAGGCAAAAAATCATCAAAGACCTGAGGGCTAGCCAGAGATTTTGATGAGGGGCAAGGTTATCTGTGTTCCATCAAAGGATGAATTATAAAAATTTGAACATCTTTATCAGATTTTTATGTGATTCAAAGGCTTGGGCAACAAAAATAGAATCAAGTTTTTCAGTGAACCAAGTGGCTTTATCAGCGGAAGAAAACGGAAACTAGGGCTGGAGAGATTAATCAATGGTTAAGAGCATTGGCTGCTATTCCAGAGGACATGGGTTTGATTCCCAGCACCCACATGGCAGCTCACAACTGTCTGTAACTCCAGTTCCAGATGATCCAATGCCCTCTTTTGGCTCTACAGGTATCAA